GTAAAAATAGGAATTATGAAGTCTATGATAATAAGAAGTCTGCGTCTAGCAGATGTAAGCCACAGGGAACAGGAGATCGGTAGATTGAGGCGTATACTGTTTCGAAATAATTATATAATGGGATTTGTAGACAATTACATATCAAATTTCAGTAACAAAATGAGGGAGTTTGCTTTCTGGAGCAGGATAAGCAATTGGACGATTCTACTCGTTTCTTGATTTTGCCTTCCCGTAAGATTAAGAAAAAGTTGTGTGATCTACTGAGGAGGTAGAACATAAAAACAATGTATGAAGAGAAATTTACACTTTCTTCAATAGTTTCTTTGTTTATAAAATTTGCTGAACTTCTTTCTAGATCAGGTTACTGCAAGGTTTTGTGTTCATAAGGTAAGGCCCATGTGGAGAAGATCTTCCGACTCATGCAGAAGAGCCCATGCGAACACAAAACAGCTTGTAAATGTCTATGGGTCAAAAAATCTGAGCTCGCTGAACACATGGCCAATACATGACACTCAGTACGCAAGGATTTTCTGGTAACGGGACTTGACATCAAAGTGTGAGATTAGTGAGGCTATAGAAATTAACAAAGCAGCCAACATCCTGAAGAAAAGGAACGAGTGTATAAAGTGAGTAGGAACTATTTGTGGCTGTTGGATAGGCTTAAGGAGAGGGAAAGAGGAGTGCAGAAAGAGTCACTGAACAGGAGTAGGAGGTGGGATTAGCCTAAAATCTAGCTCGGACTATCACACTTCCCATGAATGAACATTACACACACACACAATAGACAATAGCACAAGCTCAAACATGATTCAAGAAACATCTGCCATCGATCGAACTTCCGGTTCGGGAGGTAATTTCATTCCTATGCAAACATATAGAGTAAGATCTTAATAACCAACCAAATCACGGGATGTGTCAATAACATCGCGTAATTAATTGTATAATCAAGAGTCTAGGGTTGCAGCTTACCACCCTCTCTCTTGGTTTAGTATATTTTTGTTCTATTTCGTGAAGTATGGATACCGCTTCCGATGATGTCTGTCACATTACAGACGAAAGCTTAGCACAGCTTCATTGGGATCGCAAGAAGGTCAGCCGAACACTCCTTTGCACAATTATCATACCTACACAACAATCCTACTTCGATTTCTGGTGAGACCACATCACCAATTTCTTTCGACCAACTTTACCCTCGAAATGGAAAGTCATGTCACACTACATCTTGAATTCCTGGGAGATGAGAGCGGCGATCCCATAATAAGTGCAAACATTTGCTCATAGGCATTCGCGTTTAATATGATATAGGCAGTCCGTATTGTCAAATTAATAATATTCACTAACGACTCCCTCCTAATCCTTTCCACTTCCAAGATATCTTCTTCACGATCGAAGATTTCTTGCAGGGTCGTTAGGGACTCTTCTTAGAGATGTTTGTACACATGGATTATACATCAAAGCCTACCAATAAGTCTGCTTCTTCCAATGCCAGGTTTTCGATCCTGTGAAAAAATTCATATGAATGTTTCACTGTGCTTGATGACCTGTCGTTTAATTTCTCGAGTTTCGAACATATGAACTTTGCCAAATTGTGTGCTGCAGACGCAGACTTGTTGTTGGATATTGGCCTTGGTGCTTCTTCTTCTTTGTGTATCTTCGGTAATCGGTTAGTTGTTAGTGGTCTTGCACCCTCTTTTATGTAAGAATTTATAATTCATTCTTCGATCTCATTTTTTTAATGCAATTCACTTAATGTTCTATCGAACATACATCTGGACTTCCTATGGAATCGCCGCTCTCACCTCCTTCGGCAAACGTATACAAGAACAAATAAGAGGAGAATTTCAAGATGTCATCGCAGTAACCGAGAGTGTCTATCTGATACATTGACAACTACTTCGCACTTTGGTAGCATGGAAGAGAAAAATGGGAAGATTTTTACCAGTTTATAAACAAGATTGATGAAGGAATCAAATTCAAAAATGTAAATAGGGGAAGAGAAGCGGTTGTCATGTGATAGGGCAGGAGTGTGATAATAGGGTAAGGAGTAGATAGATTGGCCGGGACAGAAAGAGGAGTGATTGCACAACATGTTAGGCAGAAAATTGGTCAAGGGATTGAATCCATTTGTGTCTTTGACGAGTTATAGCTTGGTGCTGAGACTGGCAAGACTCACTGACGATGTCGACTACGATGACTGTCAAACGTCTGGGAATGTACAAAGTCCACGTTCCGAAGATGGGAATTACGATAACTAGTATAGCAGTAGACTTCGGACAAGGTGCGTCCAACTAAGTCGTCCTGAAAACGCGATCAAGCTTCCAAAACGAGATTAACCCGCCTTTATGCATCGAAAGGAGACTACACCCATACCAAAGGCCACACCATCTTAGTCTTCATATTTTCCTTTAAATGTAGACTTTTCGAAAGAAAGGGATCAGTCATAGTGAACATTTGCAAACAAAGATAGGAAAACGTCGAATAATGCCGTGCTTATGTGAAGGCTATGAATAAAGTTGCAAAGGCAATAAGATAGTAGCAAAGTGTAGTTCTAACGATAGCCAGGGTTTGGTGCAGGAGACTATGGAGAGGTTCTGTTTGCTCTCATCTTATCATGCCATCAGTAGGCTTCCAGGTCAATTTGCATGGGAGGATAGGCATGATTCCTGGAGGTATCACGTACAAACGACTCAAAAAGAGTTCACAGATTCGCTTTCGACAGTATCGGATTACGGTATTCCCACTTGGCCACATTGCAGCAAGTCGGCGCTAGGCTGATCGAGAAGGAAGACTCAGATACCCTGGCCATAACGACAGCATTACTCTCGCGGAGTCTACCGAGACGATTGGGACTCGGCGGGAGACAAGGTGGCAATGGAAAGGGTCAGATCTGATTGACTATATCCTGGAGAGGTCGAATATAATAAGGCGGAACCAAGAACCATGAATTAGGACAAGCCAAGTATGCCTCGTGTCATGCCCCTCCCACCATTTTTATCCTCGACCAATCACAAGGTCTGCCCAACACCAATTAGAGGCACAAAAGACGTCCAATAAGTTTCCTCAATCCAGTTGGCTATCATCATCAGTGGCGTCAGCAACGAGAACGATGCAAATGAGCAGCACCTGGCGCTAACATGCGTATGAGTTTGTGCGAAGACGCTAGATTATCATCTAAATACCAATGCTCATACAAAGCATGACCCACTCGTCAACATCGAAACAGAATAAACGACAATCATACCAATTCAAATCCAATAACTGAACCAATGTTAGTTTGTGCTATAGAGCAGTGGTTCCCTTTTTCACTTAAAGTTTTCCCATGGCGCCCTACCCTAAGTATGACTATTCGTAGGTAAGGGATAGAAATAAATAAAACTCGTGTATCTTCATTATTAACATTACATTAATATTTGATAATTAATGTGATGGATGAGCCTGCAAATCACTGCGCGTTTTCTCAAATTGAGGCTTTTACAATATTTCGCGCCTCCCCGGGGCGCCGCGGCGCACCGTTTGGGAATCACTGCTATGGAGGATACATAATCGAAGCAATTTATAGGACGCAAGTGCCGTCAACAACAGCAAATATAGACTGACCTTGGCAACGCCTCAAGGTAGAATGTGGAATGGATAAAATGGGTGTCTACACTACGCGCTTTGGCCATGTGGCTGCAGAGGGGATTCTTTTTCAGCAAGGCAAAATCACACTCACATTCACAATAACAATCACAATCAAGATCTCGATGCTGCCAGCACAGGCGTGATATGAGATAAACATGTCGCTCTGGGGCGACCAGACAATGCGGCTTCATTGCCTCAAGCCAGGTGGCAATCCGAGAGGCTGAGGGATGCAAAGACTGTCTGCTGCTTCGGTTTCTTTTGCCATCAACCTGACCCACTGTACTTATGCGCCTGTCTGCCATCGCCTCGAGGGCCGCTAGGCTGCTGCGCTGTTGGGACGATCAGTATGGCCTGGTGGCGCGATCAAGCCACCAAATGACGCCCACCGGTCGCCTTTACCGAACGGGAAAAGGGAGAAAGCGACCGATCGATCGATCGAGGCAAAGGGCAGCACGAAGGCTGGGACAGACGGAAGAAGCGGATCGGAGGGATCGATCAGAGGCGAGACGGCGGTGTACGGACAGGCGGAGGTCAGGCGAGCCGTCTTGAGAGTGACGTGAAAAAGAGATTAGACAATCGGACTGGGCGCGGGCCATACTTCGGCCGAGCGGTCCTGGAATGGTCCGCAATCTGAAGTGGTGCACACAATTGCACTCTCTCTCTCTCTCTATCTCTCCCACCTGTATACATATATCTATATGGGCATACATATACACACACACATACACATACAGCTATACGAGTCGGCCAACACTCATTGCGACAATCACATGCGACACATGTGCACACGATGCGGTAGTTTTGCCGACAAGCCCAAAGTTATGCAGACAAGGATGACCTGGCGTCGACCAATCAAAATTGAGACAATTCCGAACGGGGTCTCGTCAACATGACAAGTCTAAATGAGGGGCTTTGGGCCTGGGCGCAGGTTTGCCCGCCAAAGGGAAATGTCACATCTTATTTGTGCAGTATAAAGCACAATGTAGCAAATCGACGTTTCGTTGCTGGCAGTAATCATGAACAAATTGGCAGAGGACGCAGGACCAGGTGTGCTCCACAAAGTCGCCCTGTCGGCCAGGTTGCCAAAATGAGAACAAGCCAAAAGCGCACAATCAAAGGGGACGGCGACCAAACCCACCATATCGATCTTTATATGCACGAGATGAAGAGTAATATATGAAATATGGGTTTCGAGTTTTTGTGAATTGGTCTCACCGCAAACCGAAGGGGGATAGCCTTGGAAGACTGAAGATTGATGGATTGTGTTAAAGAAGTACTCAGCTCACAGTCTTGCGACTCCGTGTAACCCACGGACATGGTCAGAGCAAGAAATCATTATTTACCAAAAATAGTATTCGGCTATTTAGTAAAGTATGGTTTCCTGCAGATGAAGGCTTGGCACGGGTTGATCAGGTTTGCAGGAAGATGAGCCGAGGACATCATCACTTCTCCAAGCTAGTCGGCCTCCTTTGGTTTACGGTGAGACCAATTCACAAATTACTTCCAACCAACCTTTACTTCGAAACGGAAAGTAGAATCACAAAAAAAATAATATTTGTTAAATGTTGTAGCTTTCACTGCGTTTACAAGGATAGGTCGAAAGGATTAGTAAATTGGTATCATCGGAAATCAATAGAGTTGTGGCTATTGGATTGTGTAGCAAAGTCTTCGGCTCACCATCCTGCGTCTGCGGCCGCGATAAGAATCCCTAACATCCGCCTGTTGAAACGAAATGGAAGGCACACTGACATGACTCAGTTGAGGGATTATGTGAATCCCAGTGAAAAAATGTGCAGATAGTGCGTTCGGCCGAACCATTAAAAGGACATCTAGAGCACATACCGATTGTGGAAGACTACCAAATGAAATTGGCGAGAGCAAGTGTCATAAGTGAAAGAGCAAGTTAAAAGTGAAAGCTGGGGTATCAACTGCGAATAAGAGAAAGGTTGATCGTAGCATAAGTTATGCCCCCAGCTTGCTTTTGCTGCAGAGTTGATGGTAGATTTGAACCAGGCCAAATGTCTACAGCAGCTGTGTTAGGCCCGCTTCTAGTCCTGAATCCTCGATGCATCATGTCGCAAATTCCATAAATAAAAAAAGCCATTCATTGTACCAGATTACATATATGGCGATGATAAATGACTATGGTAAGCTAATAAGCTCCATAATGTCGTCTCATTGTTGTGATATTATTGTTGTCACCAATACTAATGGTACTTACGAAGTGATGAAAAGCGACATCATTTCACCTGCATCTAATTCCCATAGGAGTAAATGGGGCCAAGGCGATGTTACAAATATAGCTGATACTGAAAATAATCAAATTCAGGTTGGGTGACATTCAGCTGCAAATCAAACTATCTGTTCACTTCAAGGAATGTACATCAACTATCAGCGCCTGTGGCAACAAGTGGACCCCAAAATAGTTTAGGAACCAAGCTATTTCTGGAAGGATGAATAATGAGCCCTTTTACTACTAGAAATGGCGGGATGAAGGATGAAAAATAGCTCAAATAAGCTTAAGTACATGGCGCTCGCAACAAATATGAGCGAATTTCAAGATTTCCAACAAAAGTAAGGAGATATGCTGTTCAAAGTATGGACGGCAGGATGGGCCAGCAAGAAATACGCAGGCGGATAGATAAATTTAGGCACAGATAGATGGTTAGGATCCTGAAATAATTCCAAGCGTAATAAGTTGGTAGAACCTTACGTTCTAGGTCTTTATGCCACATTAACATTCCCAAAATTCGTAAAATCCAGGTTTACTTGCTCACTTTGCGGCCATAGTTGGAAATGAGTTGACCTCGTTTTCGTTGCAAAAACAACATTAATCCATTCGTATACATGGAAAGGAGACTGTGACTATATCATCATCTTGGCCTTCATAATTAATGTTAAAATGGGTGAAAAAGATACATAAAATGATCAGGATAGTTTAGTTTTATGGAAGTAGGTCAAGCAAGGTAGATCAAAGAACAACAAAAAGCCCAGCTACTCCTGCTATTGTATTGCCAAGTCTGGTTTACTTAAATGATTCAAAGGTAGCTTAAAACACCGCATAGACTAAGCAATGTGGAGCACATAAGTGTGAAGGGAAAGCAAGGAATGAATTAAATAAAAAAAAGTTAAGTGATTTTTGCTTTAATCCGCGCTGACAACTCAACTTTAAGGTCACGAAAAAGTGAACAGCAAATGCCAAAGATTGACTCGAAGAAGACCTCAGGCTAGCTCATTGTTTGATTGGTGTTAGAGGTATTGCAACAGTTTTCTTTACAAGTTGCATAAGCAAGCTTATCTCCAAATAGCCTCGATGTTTTACAGGTATTATCCGCATCTGCTTATAGGTCGCAACTTTAGCCTAAAATAATAATGAATACCACCTCATAGAGCCATGTAATACAAAAATCGGCAAATGTTGAAGATATATTTTGCCATCTTGATGAGAGTAGTCACGAATAACCCTTTCACATTTTTCACATCAATTGCGATGAATAAGATATGCTAGTCATTTGTCAGGCATAACGTCCACATATGTAGGCATGTAGACGACCACTTTAGAACCCTTAAAAGGTGCTGTAGGAAATATAATATTGCGACGATAGTAACAGTATTCGAGAGCTTCGATTTCCACATAATGAAGAGAATCAACCAAAAAAATGAATTCAAGGCCCAAATCGACCTCAGTTCTAATCGAAGGTATGAAGACCAAGATGGTGTGGCAACAGTAAGATCAGCAAAAAGAAGAGGACTGGATCAAGGCAATATCCTTAATTTTAGGAGAAGAGATCGTAAAGGGAAAAAAAAGAAACAATCGGAAGCAAAGAGGAGACGTCTTTAGTGAGCCTAATCAAAACATCTAGAACTACGACAATTGTGGGCTGGCACACAAGAGACTAGGACATAGGAAGTGAGTCATGGTATTACAAATAGAAATAGGAAATACGCGGTGGAGAATAAAGCTATTTGGCTAACAATAGACGTGTTTGATCATAGACGTGATCCTTAAATCACGACTCTTGTAAGCCAACTAGCCCTAGCTTCCACTGCTTCTATCATCTTTCTATCTCTAATACCAAGTATATGACTTCCTATGCAATAGTCTCTTGTGTGCCAACCCACAAGCGTTGTGGTTCAATATTGAACCTAATCAAAGCAAGCAGTACCACAACATTTTTGGGTTGGCACACAAGAGACTAGGGCATGGGAAGTCATAGACTTGGTATTAAGGATATAAATAGGATAGACGCGACGGAGACTGAAGCTAGTTGATTGACAGTAGGTCTGTTGTACCATAGAGGTAGTCCATGTAGCAAAGGCGTGACCATAAATTTAATCAGAAGCCTGAGCCTCGAATTAGTCACCCAGACGCAGGGGAGGGCAAATAACGCTTCGAGTAGCACAGATGGGGTGGCAGTGGTCGAGTGAAATACGTAAAACATGAAGAGAGAAGACGGATCTTACGGGGCAAAAGAGAAGTTGTGATAAGACATAGGGAAGGAGGACAATATGGCAAACTCTGATCAAAAATCCTAGCACAAGGGTGAAGGGGGTGAGAACGGCCGTGTGGAGTATGAAGGGTTTTATGAATACCGCTCAGAGGAGTACACCACACTATATCGAAAAAAGAACGGTAAAAATTGTAACAGTGAAGACGTGATAGGAGGATATAGAAAATGTGAATAGAGGGGCATAGGGGGAGATACCACAACTGTTTAGCACATGTTTGGTCAAAGGATCGGCTTCACTTGTCTCTTTGATGACTTGTTGTGTCGTACTAAGAATGGAGAGACTCACTGACGATGCCGGCGAAACGCCTGGGAATGTACCACGTCCACGGTCCGACTTTTGAAATGATCATTCATACAATGGACTCCGGACTAGGTGCGTTCTTCTAATTCTTCCTACGAATATGATCAAGCTGTGAAAAGAAGGTCAAACAACCTCCGTTCTAATGCTCATAAAGTGTTTATGTTCCCTGATTACAACCTCGGCAAGCTGCAGGAGAGGTTAATGCTAGCAGTAAGACGTACTTTACACTGATATGCTCCAGTATGAGTTGGCAGAGCATACTCTACCAAAACCTTTAAGACGAATCAAAAACTGCAGTTACTGTGAAACAAACTTAGAGCAAATTGCAAAAAATGAAGTATAAAACTTGCAAAAAGATGGGAAACTATTAGAAGTGAGTCACTCTATAATCCATTTATAATACACGGCCACATTGGATCGTGGAAAGAAGTGATGGTGATACTAAAAATCGCTCCTTAGCTATAGGGTGGGAACAAAAGGGGATATTGGTTGTGAGAAAAGTGCATTCTTGCGTTGGGGTTAGTTTAGCTTTCCGTTCGTTCGAAGAGGCGAGTTGAAGGAAGTCTCAAATTGACCTCACCAGAAGCTAAAGGAGTGCCTTATAGTTGTGACTAAATTTGTGAGAACAAGGCCTCAGAGTGAACCACATCAATCCGCCCTAAGATTTTATCTGTTATGTGAGAGACAGCGTCAGAGCAGAGCAAAACTAACGAAAGCTAAGCACACATGCATCGTCCCTTCACGATCGTGGGACGATGTGTCGAGTACCAAGCAGCGTAAATCTACAATTACAAGTCCAAAGCAATCTTGCTTCGACTTTCCTTCTATTCGTCTCTACAGACAAAACGAAAATATTCCTCGAAACTCAGATTCTCTTCATATCTTCCCTACATCATCAGAAATTTAGAAGTTAATGCATTCGATAGCTCCCTGACAAGAGGGACAAGCCACTCTGGGATTATACTGTCCAATTTTCTATGTGTGCCTGTATTTCTAATAACCCTATGTGGGGCTGACAGCCCGCTAGACTAATGCCATGTGGACAACATCCCCTTTTGAGACAAAGCATGATAGAAACATTAATTCCTATCCTGCTAAGGTCATTATGACACATGCATAGATATTTTAAGACCACAAAATAAGCCAGTAAAAGCTCCATATGAAGGAATTGTTGATTACGGTTTGTGGGACAGTTTCATATGGATATAAATACAAACGAATGTGGCTGTGCTTAAAGTAGGGCAGGATAGCTTCAAATATGACAAATTGATTAAAACCGATAGACTAGTGGATAAAATATAAGTAAAAAAAATCAGGAAACAATTAGCTGATTGAAAAATTGATAGGCTGATTACTTATAGCATTAGAGTCAATAGGTGAGGGAAAGATAAGAAGGAATAGAATTCTATTTCAAAGATAGAGACAAGAAAAAACAAACGATAATGCAATAGTGAGGACTAAAGATTTTGATATAAAGGAAAAATGGGAGAAACGCTTTTATTCCACTTCTATGCTATGCTGTATGG